GGCAGCTCAGCAACTAAGAGAAAGTATAGACAAATGGGACTTCATAAAACTAAAAAGCTTCTGCTCACAAAAGAAATGGTCTCTCAATTGAAGAGACCACTCACAGAGTGGGAGAAAATATTTGCCAGCTACATATCAGACAAAGGACTGATAACCAGAATATACAAGGAGCTCAAAAAACTAAACTCTCCCTAAATTAATGAACCAATAAAGAAATGGACAAGTGAACTCAACAAACTTTCTCAAAAGAAGAAATTCAAATGGCCAAAAAACACATGAAAAAATGTTAACCATCTCTAGCCATAAAGGAAATGCAAATCAAAACCACACTAAGCTTCCACCTCACCCGTTAGAATAGCCATCATTAGAAACACCACCACCAACAGGTGTTGGCGAGGATGTGGGGAAAAAGGAACCCTCGTACACTGCTGGTGGGAATGCAAGCTAGTGCAACCACTCTGGAAAAAAATTTGGAGGCTTAAAAATCTAAACAGATCTGCCATATGATCCAGCAATCCCACTCCTGGGGATATACCCAAAGGAATGTGACACAGGTTACTCCAGAGGCACTTACACTCCCATGTTTATTGCAGCACTATTCACAATAACCAAGTTATGGAACCAGCCAAGATGCCCCACTATGGATGAATGGATTAAGAAAATGTGGTATTTATATACAATGGAATTTTATGCAGCCATGAAGAAGAATGAAATCTTATCATTCGCAAGTAAATGGATAGAACTGGAGACATCATTCTGAGTGAGGTTAGCCAGGCTCTGAAGACCAAAAATCGTATGTTCTCCCTCATATGTGGACTTTAGGTCAAGGGCAAATACAGCAAGGGGATTGGACTTTGGTCACATGATAAGGCGAGAGCACATAAGGGAGGTATGAGGATAGGTAAGGAACCCAAAAAACATGATAGTATTTGATGTCCTCAATGCTAAGAAGCTAATGCAGAAACTTTAAAGCGACAGAGGCCAATAGGAGAAGGGGACCAGGAACTAGAGAAAAGTTTAGTTCGAGAAGAATTAATTTAGAATGTAACACATATGTATAGGAAAGCAATGCGAGTAAACTCCCTGTATAGCTATCCTTATCTCAATTAGCAAAAACCCTTTGTCCCTTTTGTTATTGTTTATACTCTCTTCAACAAAATTAGAGATAAGGGCAAAACAGTTTCTGCCTGGAAGCTAGGGGGTAGGGGCGGAGAAATGACCCAAACATTGTATGCATATATGAATGAACGGAAAAAAAAAAGAGTAAAAGGACATAGAAAGACGTAGTATGCTAATAGCAATCAAAAGAAAGCAGAAATGGCTATATTAATTTTAGGGAGTGCAAAAATAAAAACAGGGATAAAAAGGGGCAGCACAGAAGATATAATGTGTATATATCTATTAAAAGAGTGTCAAACTACATGAGGCAAAAATTGATAGACAGGTAAGGAAAATGATTCCACTTTACACTCAGAGACTTCAATACCCTTCTGTCGGACTGGACAGATCAAACAGGAAGAAAATCAGGAAAAATTTCTGGTTGAACTGAGAACACTGCCAATCAACTGGATCTGATTGACATTTATAGAATCCAAGAGCAGCAGAATACATAATACTCTCAAACTCACATTGAACATTCACCAAGATCAACCACATCGGTACCATAAAACACACCTTACCAAACTATAAAGAATATAAATCATACAATATCTGTATGATTAACTACAGATTTCATACCTGTTGTTTAGAAAACAATAAGCGACCTCAGTCGCTTAGACATTCAACACACTTCTGAATAACACATGAAACAAAGAAGTCGCAAAAGAAATTAGAGAAGATCGAAAATCAGTAATTTAAGCTTCCACCTTAGGAAACTAGAAAAATAAAGAATAAATAAAATCTAAAATAAGCAAATGAAAAGAAATATTGACTATTACAATGAGAAATCAACAGAGAAAGTCAATAAAACCAAAGTTGGGTTTTTGAAAAGATTATTAAAACTGACATAGAGCCAGGTTAGCTAAGAAAAAAAAAAAAAAGAGAGAGAGAAATGACACAAATAGCTATAAAGAAATTATACAGATTCTTGGGCTGTGGATTTAGCTCAGTTGGTAGGTGCTTGCCTGGCATTCATGAGGCCTTGGGTTTAATCCCTGGCATTGTAAAAACAAACAAACACAAACCCCAAATTCTCTGATATAGTAACAGAAGAAGGAAATAAAAATTACATAGTTTGGGAAGGTAAGAAATAAAATGTCTTTTTTTTTTTTGCAGATGACAAGATTGGCTTAAGAATCAACAACAAAAAATGTCTCCTAGAAATATTAATGATCACAGCAAGGTTACAGAACATAAAGTGAATATACAAAAGTCACTGCTTTCTTTGGTATATGAAATGAACAACTGGAATATAAAATCAAAAACATAATACCATTTACAGAAGTACCAAAAAGAACAAAACACTTAGGTAGAGATGTACAATGTCTGCAAGACTGTATGAGAAAAATTAAACTCTGATGAAAGAAGATTTAAGTAAATGGAGAGATTCCATGTACAGGGATAGGGAGATTCCAATACTGTTGAGCAAGATGTCACTTCTTTTCAACCTAACCTGTGGATTAAATGCAATCTCAACCAAAATCTAGCAAGTTAATTTGTGGGTATCAACAAACTGCTTGCAAAATTTACATGGAAGGGCAAAAAGACCTACAGTGGTCAACACAATATTGAAGAAGAACAAAGTAAGAGGACTGACTATACCAACTTCAATAATCAGGAAAATCTGGTATCGGCAAGAGACAAACACTAGGACAGAGTGGCGTGCACAAATAGACTCATACTAATATATTCAACTAATTTTGACAAAGGAGAAACTATAATAAGTGGAGAAAGGACAGTATTCAACAATCAGTGCATTCATATGCAAAAAATGAATCTAAGCCAGGCACGGTGACGCACCCCAGTAATCCCAGTATTGAGAAGGCTGGGGCCAGAGGATCATGAGCTAGAGGACCTAGCTCAAGCAACATAGCAAGATCCTGTCTCAAAATAAATAAACAAATAGACAAATAATCATAAAAACATAAAAATAAAAAATAAATGTAGACACAAGTCTTTTACCTTTCACAAAAGCTAACTCAAAATGGATCACAGACCTAAATGTAAAACTCTGTGAAGCTAATACAGGAGAAAATCTAGGTGACTCTGGGTTTGGCAGTAACTTTCAAGAGATAATACCAAAAGCATAATCCATGAAAGAAAAAAATTGATGAATTGGACTACATTAAAATGAAAACCTGTTCTGCAAGACACAGTTAAAAAAATAAGATGAACAAGAGCTGGGAGAAAATCTTTGCAAAGGACTTTTATTCAAAATAATTAAGAAATTTAAAATTCAACAGTAAGAAAACAACTCAGTCTTAGGCAAAAGATCTGAACATATACCTCACCAAAGAAATGCAGATGACAAACACATGAAAAAACAATCAACATCGTACGTTACCAAGGAATTACAACTTAAAACTCTCACGAGCTACTATTACACACCTAAAACCAAAATAGAAATAGCATGGATTATGTACTGTCTGTCCTTTTCATGTAATTGTGTATTTTGGAGATTATTCTCCATTAGTACAGAACAAGTTTCCTCATTCTGTTACCAATGCCTGTATTTTACTACAAAATCTACAGGAAATTCTTAAAAGTGTATGGTTGGGTTTAAGAATAGATTTTTGATTTAGATAGATACTGCCAAATTGCCCTCTATAAATTAATTGTTCCAACAGCAATCATAACCCCACTGTCATGACTTTAATAAAAATTCTCAATACTATAAATATATCTATTGGAGGTGGAGAGGGGGAAGGAGGAGAAGCTCACAGACACATGAGTTACTACCAACTTCCCAGAGACAAACAGAAATTCAAAGTTATATTAGCCTTGTTAATTCTTACCCAGTTGGAATTCAGTCTTGGGCTTGATGGCTGGAAGTTTACACTGCTGTTCAAAAGTATTTGGGTAGGAACTCACTGGTTTAGAAAGCCCAGATAAAAGTTTGAGAATCAATTTATCGTCCCATGGGTTCTCAATTGTAAAGTCTTAAAGGAACAGGAACAAAAAGAGGAACATGGATTTTACAGAAGAAATTTTAGAAAAAGCAAGTGAATTCATTCATTAAATAAGCTTTCAAAAGCCTATCATTTATAGAGCATTGATTCAATAATAAAGAACTATTTTCAAAAGTCAGAACTGGTAACTCAGCAGTTACTTGCCATTTTAGATCTACAAGGTTAGATCAATATTCATTTCTGACAAAGGGAATTAATCAGCTGTAACTCGTTCTATGAACTTGGAACTACCGGATCATGCCTTTAATAACTATGGCTGCATGAACCTGTGGACATACTTCTGATATGCTCAGATACATATTCTTTATCTTTAATAGCTTTTCCACTTATACCCACAAAACACCTTATGTGGGTGGTGGTAAGGGGGACAGAACTCAGGGCCTCTTGCATGCTAGGCTAGAGCTCTAACACTTGAGCTACACCCTTGGTCCCATAAAATACTTGAACTACCTACATGTAATTTGCATGTATGAGATGAAGTTTGGGTCCCCAAATGGGAAAACAATTTCCAAAGGGAAGTCAAAGTCTTCTCTCCAATTTAAAGCATTATAAAAAAATTCTATTAGTGGGAGTTATGAAATCCTAATCCAACAGGGTTACTACTTGCTTAGTAATAAGCATGTGGAGCACACTGTTCTGAGTACTTCACATTTATTAACTCCCTTGGTTCTTACAAGGATCCTCTAAGGTAGATATCATTATCACTTCCACTTTAAAGAAAAGGAAGAAGGACACAGAGAAATAAAATAATATTGCTTAAGATCACATGACCACTTAGGAAGCTAGACTCAGAACCTAGTTAGTCTGTCTCCAGAGTCTGTGTTCTCAACCACTATGCAAGATTATTTCTGTGTAACAAGGGGCAGGGGGATCTCTTTAATCTTGAGTCTCAGTTGGTTTTTCTGTAAAATGGGGGGAAATAGTATTAGAGTAATACTATTATCCTAATATTACATTATAGTAAACTGTAATGTTTATATATCGTAGGCCCTCAAATTCCAATTCCCTTATCCAAAAGTAATCTTTTCTTTTCATGGGACTGGGGTTTGAACTCAGGGCTTTGCTCTTGCAAAGCAGGCATTCTACTGCTTGAGCCATACCGCCAGTCCATTTTGCTCTTGCCCTTTAAGTATGTCACAACTTAACTGCATTGTGATTAGGCTTTTTGTTGCTGTTATTGGTACTGGGTTTTGAACTGAGGGCCTCATGGTTGCTAGGCAAGCACTCTATCACTTAAGACATTCCCCAGCACTTTTGGCTTTAGTTTTTTTGATAAAGTCTTGTATTTTTTTCCTGGGCCATGATCCTTCTACTTATGCCTCCTGGGTAGCTAGGATGACAGGCATGAACCACCACACCCAGTTTTTTTGTTGAGATGGGGGTCTAATTAACTTTTGTTTTATGATCTCAGTCTCATGATCTCTGCCTCGTAAGTACCTGGGTTTACAGGCTTAAGCTACAATGCTGGCCCAGTTATGAATTTTGTCTGAACTTGTGTTCAAGTCCCCAGTCTAAGTTTTCCACTGAACAGCTTTCCCATAATGTTATGCTTATGGCACAGCAAAGATGGAGCATCTGTACATACTTGAAGCACTGATGCTCCCAAGTGAACCACTCTGAGTCCATTCTGCTTGGAGTGCAGTGCTGGCAGCTGGTGGGTTCTCCACGATGGCAAGGTCAGTGTCTGTGTGTTTACAAGCCTCAAGGCCCCATACTGCCTCATGGTTGAATACACCTCCGGTGGCAGGTTGACTAGGATGGTGTAAGGACACTGGAGATGTGACAGTGAGGAATTCTTGTTCTGGGTTTTTCTCTTGAATTGGACTGGATGTGTGATAAGGGTAAGAGAAAACAAAACACCATTTGATTAGAACACTATAGATAGATTAAAAATCTCACATTCATTTTAGGAATGACTTCAGAATTATCTAACAGACTGAGTTGATTAAATTATTTTCTTTAGATAAATATATGCATTTACATAGCTAGTACAATATAAATAGAAATAAAATCAAAGACATTTAATGTCTTAGATAAATAAGAGAGGTGATACATTCATTGGGTACTCTTTAGTAGGAGTACCCAATGGTACTCCTCCTAATGGAGGAATGAGTTTATTTCTGTAAGCTGCATTAGATAGCACCACTGTTCACCAAGACTGAATATTTAACTTCATTCCAAGGCTTCTTTCATAGCATTGAGACAAACAGAGAATATCAATCATAATCCAACAACTTAGTATTCTGATACTTTTCCACATAGACATATATGTGCACACATACATATGGAGGTACATATGTGCCCACCTGCACGTATGCGCACTGAGTTGATTCTCACTCATGAGTTTCATATTTGTGAATTTACCTACATGCTTAAATTTATAACTCCAGAATTAATACTAATGTGATTTTTCAGCCATTTGCAGACTTGCAGAACAATGAAATAGCTTTGAGGCAATGTTGCAAAGATAATAGAGAATTCCTGCCAATTTCTCCTCATGTTATCATCTCCTACTGCTGAGGTACTTTTGTAAAAGCTAACAAACCAACATTTGTAACTTTATTTTCACTTAACTCCAGCCATCATTTAATTCTTTCATTAATGTCCTTCTGCTCCTGGATCTAGTCCTAGATACTACATTGTAGTCAAGTCACCTTATTCCTTCCTTATCTGTGACAATTTCTTAGTCTTTCTTAATTTCCCAAGACCTTGATAGTTATGAGGAGAACTGGCCAGATTTTTTGTTTGTTTCTCTCATGTTTTGTCATGTCTAGATGGTGATTATTGATTATTGGTGTTTGGGAAGAGTATCACAGCAGTGTAGTGCCTTTCTCATCCTATGGTATCAGCATGTATCACCATGACTTCTCACTGGTGATGTTAACCTTTGCCAGGTTTCTCCATACTCTTTCCATGTATCTGAATGACTGTATATCATTTAATGCAATGGATGTATAACAGCATATAACAATTCTATGGCCCTTAGATATTGAATACATTCCCAATGTTTTATATTACAGCAAAACAGATGCAAAGGGTACACATACACAATGGAAAAAGGGTTTCCAAAACCTAATACATTGCTACTAGTAACACAAGTGTCTAAGTTACTGTTGATATATAAGTGACTAACAAAACCCTTTTGCCTTCATCACAAACCTCTCACTGAACTAAGACCCCAAGTAAATAAATGACTGGATAAAAGACAAGCAGAATTTACATATGGTTAACTCACCATAACAAAATTAATGCAAATTAAATACACTTTGCCTTTTAATTAAAAATTATACCCACGGAGTACAATTTTTGACAATAAGAGGCAGTACAACATGGTATAAGAACAAGGGTTCTGAAATCAAAAACAGATGTTCAAATTCCAATTCCATAAATTAAAAGCTCTGTAACTTTAGATCAGTAATTTATCCCTTTAGTACATGATTTCCTCATTTATAGCAGGGAAAAGAATAGTTCTAAAAGCATATGCACTATATCTAGAATATAATGAATACTCAAAAGTTGGGAGCTACTTTTAGTATCTCCCACATGTAGCAGTCTGTTCAAATATGGTGGGATTTTACTTCTGTAAAGCATTAATGCATGGTAAATCTGCATCTCATACCAATACCAAAGAAAGCTTAAACATTCTATCTTCTTCTCTTAAATAAAAGTTACTGATCTTTCAGTTATAATGGGTATAAAGCAGAAATTATGTGTTGGCTCAGTTCTGCAATAGTCTTTATATGCCAGGCTTCTCTGCTAAGAGGATCTGTAGTTTTAATCATGAAATGAGTGGAAAGCAGTTGCAGAAAATGTTTTCACTGGGATTGTTACCTCAGCTGCTTCTTTTACTGTCCTGATATATCAAGTGCACAGGGCCATCACTGCATTCACAATGACATAGTACCTTATGACCAAAGATGCCAATCAATACAAACTTTATTAGCCTTTGAGGGTTGGGATTAAAAGCAAAGCTACAATGGAAACATAGCGAATGACAGAACCACACAATACCCGAATTTTCTGTCCTTTGAGGGCTCCCCCATGTTTTCTTCATGAGAATCCAACTTCGAATGGGTACTCTGTGTTGCTACCACATTTTCTGAAATATACAAAAATTAGAGACAGACACATTAATGTACATGTATGTATGCACACGCATGCCATTTGATACAGCTAAAGTCTGGGATTCCTGTTTATAATGATTTCCACTGTAATTTCAAAATTGTGTTCTATGGTAAAAAAGTGTTGTAAGATTGAAAAACAAATAGGAAAAAAATGCACTTAAAAATCTAGTATATGTGAACAATTCAACTCCCAACATATGATCCATGTGATCCTTCAAGACAAACGGGTCCAGAGTGGCAGGTCTACTGTGGGCAAGATGACCAGTCCACAGAAAATCCCTGGCATGGGTGACAGGGCACACCTGGTTTCAGGAAAACTCAGATGAGGACAGGGAGAGTAAAATGCTGCAGTGCTTCCAGAGGGCAGGAATTTTTGTGTCTTTCAGTTTAACAAACTTCAGTGAATCAGCATTTAGTTGATTGAAACGATTTATATACTGGCAATATTTATCATGGCTTTTAACTTGAAAATATTTATCTTTATCTATAGTAGATAAGATAGAAATACAGACTAAATTTCTACCAAGCGGTGATAATACTGTGCACAATCAAGTACTAGACTAGATTAAATTTTATCAGTCAGTCCTAATTGAACAGGTGCTAATGCTTTTTAGTGCTAGGACATCAGCTTCTGTTTATAGAACCAGAGTGGGAAATACTGTAAGAATAACCAATGTTAACTTTTTGAAAGACTTCACTGATTAGTTTTCCTAAATGGAAAAGGTTTAAAATTTTTTTTAAATTAAAAGTAGTAAGCTTGTGATGGCATTTAGCAATAGTCCTCTTTAAGACTTAGAAAAGAAATATAACATGCTAGATTAGTACTCTAAGAAAACATCCTTACTCCTTAGTTAAAAATTTAAGTCTATAGGTTCATGATTTCATTAAAACATGCTTCCATTGAGTGAACTGAAATTCTTTAGCAATTATTTCATTATTGCTGTGGTGAACATTTGTTACTTTTAAAAAATACCAGCAGTGATATATTTTTGCTGGCAAATTAGTATTCAGCAATATGGTACAGTGGCTCCAAATCTTATAGCAATGTCAAATATTAGTGTTAAATTCATGTATCTTTGATGTAGGAGTGTTATGTTTGAAGTGGACTACTTATGGGTTTTATCATTATTCTCTTGAAGTCTGATCACTAATAAAATAAGATGCAATTTTCTCTGTATGTATAGTTGGCTACATGTGTAAGATAAGAAAATTTATAGACACATTAAGGAATAAAATTGGCTATTTGTTATTCATGAAATTAGAAAACATATATTATTTTTAGTACATAAATAATTTAATCTGTAGTAAATTCCACCCCCCCTTTTTTTGTCAAACACAAGCATACCCCTATATAAATGGGTTATAATTTTGTATATTTGTCTTTAAATGCTTCTATAGGGTTTTCCCCCTTTCTCTCCTTTTTTCTTTCTTGAGACAGGGTCTTCCTATCCCAGGCTGGCCTCAAACTCTCAATCCTTATGCCTCAGTCTGAGTGCTGGGATTATAGGTATGTACCACTACACCAGGCTTGGCTTTCCCTCTTTCTACCTATTTGTAAAAATTTAAAATGTACACAGACTTTAAGAAGATAATATGCCAAAGTGTGTGTGTGTGTGTGTGTGTGTGGACAATGAATAGATTTTAATGTTCTTTATAATTTTTAACTTCGCCTTTAGAATTTTCAAGAAAACTTCAGTATGAAATGAAGTTTGTAGAAGACAGACACTAAAACAGGGTACACACACCTTTATCTTCTAGAATGTACATTGAATCGGCTGGAAGTTTGTGGAATGGTGTAGACACAAGCTGGGCAGCAGGTGTAAAGTCTCCTGTGCTCTTAGGACTGGGTGCAAGGGTTTTGTTGCAGCGAATACCCCAGACTGTTGAATCATCCAAAAACTCTTCGGTGTGAGGCACTTCCTACAAGAGAAGATGAACTCAAAAACAAAAACAAAACAGCACTGTTCCGTTTCCCAAGACATTTAACACATTAAGACTAAGTTGGTACAGTTGATAGAGACTTGTAGTCCCAGCTACTTGGGAGACTGAGGCAGGAGGATCACTTGAACCCAGGACAACACAGCAACAAAACAAAAGAAACACTTTAAGACTTTTAAGACTTTAAAAAAAAAGGAGTTAAAGAAAATCAGATGTCAATCTGTCCTTTTTACATCTCATTCGAGTTACATCACAGTAAGTGGCACGTTTTTGTTTTCAATTTCTACATTTCTGTTTAACTTTAAAAAAATGTCTAGATTTATCGAAGAATTATAAAGATAGAATTGTTCCTTTCACTAAGCTTCCTTTGATGTCAACCTCTTCTGAAACCTGGTATGCTCGTAAAAACTAAACAATACTAACTATATACCTTATTTGGACTTCACTCTTTTCCCTCCAATGCTCCTTGCAGGACAGCAGGCTACATTTAGCTGTCCTGTCCTGTCTGTCTCCTCTGTTCATGATGATCTATTGGTCCTTTCTACTCTCTCTTGCACTAACACTTAAAAACTGGTCAGGAACTATGTAGAATGTCCCTCTAATTTGGCTCATTTTTCTCATGATTAGACCAGAAAGAATATCAGGGGCAAAGTGCCCTTCTTATGATACACTGGGGATGTATGCTTCCAATACAACCTGTCACTGATGAGGTTAATCCAATCACTTGGGCAGGTATCAGTAAGGTTTATTCACTATGGATTACTTTTCCCTTGCTCTATTCTACTTGTTAGAAGTAAGTCACCAAGTTTTGCCCACACTCAAAAGGTGAATTAAACTCTACCTCCTATAAGGATATCATCAAGGAATTCATGGATTCCTTATAAATTAAAGTAATAAATTTCCTCCCTAAAAGTATAATATTTATAATTTTATAACATGAAATTCTGGCCAGATGCTTGGAGGCTACACAAATGCCCTGACTCTTCTCACTTACAGTAGTTCTCAACATGGGGTTGCCATGATAATTTGCTATTACTGCTCATCCCTTCCACCTCTCTTGGAATTCTTCTGTAAGAAAGAGCTGCACTTTATCCCTCATTATTTGTTTCAATGTGGGTATTTGTTTTATTTCTTGGGTTATAATCCAATACTACTTTTACTTACTTTCTTGTTAAGATTGTTGGCTCCTATGATCTTATGACATACTCCAACTTCTTCTTCTTCTTTTTTTTTAGAAAAATCAAAACCCAAAACACTTCCTTAATTTCTGGCACAAGATGCTTGCAACTCATTTTGTACCTTCCCTGCCCCAACCCTAGAAATCAGGTATTTTTCTAATAACATAATTATAGGTCAAGTTTTGGAGTCTGTGTGAAAAGAAGAAACTGCTGAGTCAGAACTAAACTTGATAAAAACCCTGTTTTTGCCCTTAAAATGATACACTTTTTAAAAATAGTTGTTTTTAATATATGACATTGTCTTTATAAATTCTATCATGTCCTCCAACACTGGAAGAAAAACTGGCTGGTTGTTTCTTCAGGTGGATGAAGGAATAAACACCAACTTATGTTTAACACCAGGATAAACAAAAATGCATTGTGATTTTTTGGTCAAAGCATATAGTTGAATAGTTTAGTAAAATGCACTTTTGAAGTGATGCCACTGTATCTGAAATCCAGTCCATTATTTGGGAAAGTTTTAAAGTCAAATAGTTCATTAGAAGAATTACATAGCCGGGCAATAGTTTATGCAAAAGAATCCACCATGGGATTAAAAATAAGCCAGGACTCACAGAGCTTCCCAGTGAGGGTGACTGGCGATGACAGCACTTCTTCCTGGGGCATCACAGCCACAGGGCCATGTAGGGGCCCACCACAGGGAAACCTCAGGGTCAGGGTAGAAGCTGGGTATGGACTGGCTGCAATGGCTGCTGAAGTAGAATGTTGTGGGCCAGTGAGCAGGTGAAGTTTGTCTGTTGAGGTATGCAGCAGTTAAATTCAGATTTGCTGGGATGCTCACTAATATTCCACTATAAGCCCCACTTGCTAGGTCTAGGAAAATGTATATCCTCAGGTGGGCCCTTCTAACAAAAAGGACGATTTTTTTGAGGGCAAGGATCATATCAAATTCATTTTTATTTTCTATATCCATTACAGAGTCTGGCACATTAAAGACATTCAAATAATTATTGAATTATGTTCTGAAAGAAACACATTTTACCTTATAACCTTGTATTTTCCAGCCCAGTTTAATATGCTTCACATCATTTGATTGGTATAATCATTTGGCAAGATGAAGAGGAAAGGGTTTTAATTTTAAGAACCATTTCACAGATAAACCAGAGGTTTGCTTACATTTGGTTTTGAAGGAAATCTGCTGATAGAGCGTTCTCCGAAGGTTCTGGTTCCTGTGGGTTTATTTTTAGGCTGTGGTAATCTAAGGAAAGATTTGCAAAATTATAAATTATAAAATATGCTGACGAAATAAATGTTGCTATTTAAAAGTGTTAGAAAAATGTCTACCCTACTTAATGAGTTAATGGTTTTACAGAGATTTCTTATTTTCACAGTTCTAACAAAACTGACTGTAAGTTGAATTGTCTGTAAATAAGTCAACCTACAGTTACTTAAGTAAAGGTGCAAAATACAATTTCTGTTATAATGAATTCCAAGTTTGGGGGGGCAAAAGAAGAATTAGGGCCATAGCCAACAAAGTGTTATGGATGCTACATAACATTTTATTTCTTATTCCTAGTTCCCTGCTTAGCCAAGAAATTCTTATCTGTAAGCTGATCAGTCTTCTCCTTTCTGCTTCAATATGAAATTTTTCCATACCGTGTTATCTGCAATTCACACTGACATCTCTCCTTCCATGGCATGAACTAGTTACAGTGAGGATTCCAGGAGCTACCCAACTCTACAGCCTGATATAGCTCTTTAATGTTATGTCCCTCTACCTTAAAATATATTCTCTCAGCAGTATCACTTAACATAAGCCACTTTCCTTTCTACTTTATCAATCCTCCAAATATAAACAGAGCATTTATGAACACCTACATGGGTGGATTTGTCTGTATATAATGTAATTTCAAACCCAGAGTTTGAAACTCAACAGTTCTCTGACAAATTATAACCAGGCTGTATTCCTTTTTCAATTTTGTTTTTGCTGTGAGGTTTGCCATCTTGGAACTCCTGCATAGCACTGCAGATATGGAGAACTTAGGCAACTAGCTCTGGACATGTGATCAAAAGGCTCATCTGTGGCAAGGCTGGGCCTGGTATCTAGACCATCTGGTCATCAGTCCATATTCTCTCCTCCCGGCCCCACCACCTTGAGTTCTGCAGGCACCTTTGTAGCATCCCGTATCACTGACATGTATCTTCCCCCAAATAATTTTAACTAGGTGTTCCTTTACCCATAATTTTCTTTGTTTCCATCTTCAAAAATAGGAAAAGCAGATGATAAAGAGATAATCTTATTCATTCCCCAAGTCCCAGTAGACTTTGCATTTTCTGTAAGAGAAAGAATGTCATTTCATTACTGTCCTAGGGAAAAAAAAACATTTACAGTAAACTTCAACTACAAATAAGGGAAAGAATAATAGCTTACAGAAAAGACCTGATATCAGTTTTTAAAACACTAGGTAGACAGACAAGTCACTTTGTAGTGAGATGAAGTGACTTAAGCATGTCACTGAGTCTAGGTCCAGTCACCAGGTCAGGCCCAGGTCCTGAATTTCTGTCACATGTAAGGAACAGCGATAATTCTCCTACAACACTGCCACTGTTACCTGAATTACTCAATAAAATATCTCAGTGGTTTTGTTCTTTATTTCCTTTAAGAAAAAGTTAACCTCTTAACTTTATATTTCCAACCCCCAGAGTCTAACTGGATCTCATATATCTTTTCCTTTTTCTTTTGTAGTACTGGGGCTTGAACTCTTGGCCTACACCTTAAGCCACTTCACCAGCCCTTTTCTGTGATGGGTTTTTTCAAGATAGAGTCTTATGAACTATTTGCCTGGGTTGGCTTTAATTCGCCACCCTCCTGATCTCTGCCTCCTGAGTGGCTAGGATTACAGGCGTGAGCCACTGTTGCCCAGCTGATCTTACATATCTTTATCATGATCTCTGGCTCCCAGTATGAATCCTGAATCTAAACAAGTACGTATTGCTGAGTGCTCAAGTCACACATTGGGTTTGTAACCCTTCCTGACTATTCCTACTCATGGGGTTTTTGTCCTTATTTAGCACTTCCTATTTATAAATAAACAAACAAACAAAAACCACTCAACCAAATAAACATGAAATCTATCATGCACATTGTAATCTTATCAAACTGTCATAGTTTTATTTCATGCATTCCCTGGCTAATTAAGGCAGAGCTGTATTTTATATAATCTTTAATAATGCCTGTGACAACCCCTAAGATACTATGTACTTAGTAGCTTTTTAATAAATTGTTACTTTGAAACTGGGCTTCAAATGCATCTTCATTTTGATCTAGAGATGGCCATTCATCTTTGTCATCAGAAATGTCAGGAACTGTAGGAGCCTGAAACATATTCATGATGAAACCTTAAAAAGAAAAAAATACCTGTCAATGGTTGCAAAAGAGTTTTTGCTAATTCGTTTAAGTGCCACACACACAAACAAAATACTGTACCTAATGCTTCCTTTGTGTGCACAGTGGGTGAAGGCTGCACTTTGGATGGTGTTGCCTGAGCCATTCCCAGTGACGTGTTTGGAGTTGTGTGAAAGGAACTTGTGCTAGTGACCTTATGCGTTTCATATGCTGGCAAAGGAATGGGACAAAATATTCTGTCAGCAGGCCAATCAGAACACGTTAGAAGGCATACGACTTCAGCAACTTATTACAATTAAATCAGTTTGCCAATGTCAATAATTATCAAAAAAGATCTCTATTAAGAGTGCTTTCATATATTTCATACTTATGTTTATAATGGTACCATCAAGCAGGTATGGCAAAAATTATCCTTTTATAGAAAAGGAAATGAAGGCTCAAAGAGATTAGGTATTTGGTCTGAGAGGTACTGTTTAGCAGTTTTGTCATAAATGGCACAGCTTCACTGTATCCCAAGAACTACCTGCTAATGATCACACTGTAAATCTTTCCTGCTTCACCACATTGTAAATCTTAAGCCCGTTTTTCATCTCACTCAGCTGAAGTCAGACAATGAAGCCCTGCACAGCCTAAGCCCTATTTGATAAGACCTTACCTTCCTCCTCTCCCCTGCTCTCCCTGCAGCACTGGTCTCTTTTGCTATGCTTAGAACATATCAGGGATGCGCCTACCTGAAGGCTGTTCTTCTGCGTAAAGCAGATTCACCAATCGGGCTGCATAGGTAGCTCCCATCTCCAGTTCTTTACCAAAATATTGTCTCCATCTGTCTTTCCTGATCAGCTTCTCTGAAACCCGACCTCTCCCTACTCCAATATTAACACTTCCCTCCTGCAGGGATTTTCATCTTTTTGTTCATGACATTTCTAATTAGAACTATGCCTGGCAGCTGGTGAGCACGCGCCAAGTCTTTATGCAATGAACAAGTCTCCAGCTGTTTCTAACAGTTCTGCTCCAACTGAACTGTTAGTGGAAAAGATACCACAGTCACGAAGAGGGAGCAAGTGAATGCTCAAATGTGTCTTATTTAATGAATAAACCACATCTTCTGCACAAATACCTCCAGTGTAACAACAAATAGTAATGCAACACTCCTAATTAAACTTTGGATTACCTGTCCCATCTAATGCACTAACGATGATTAATTTTAGATTAATAAGATGAAAAATTTAATAGAAAAATTTTCACAAACAAGTTTTCAAAGGATTCTGAAGTAATAAGACACAACTAACTAGTAGAATTTTGTTTTTATTTGAAATAATCTGGGCTACCCTGTCTCCTAAGAAAAGAAAAACTAACATTTAGACTCAGTGAGGTCTGAAGCCTTCCTACATCACAGCAACAATACAGACTCTCTGCGGCTCACAGGAGTCTACCCAAATCAGTCAGGATGAAGTTATAATGAAACATTACCTTCTTTTGTTTCTGCTCCACTCTGTGGCTTGAATTCATGAGTACTCTGATTCACATATCTGGAAAAGAAAGCTCTTGAGACACACAGTAGATAAAAAAGCTTTACATATAATTTTGAACTAATTCTCAAGAATAGTAAAAGAAATCCGTCCATAATTATAAGTCTATTATTAAAACACAGATGGAACTGCTTAGGTCCATGGTATAAGTAACTGAAATGTTTTACTTTTTTCTTTCAGTTCCAATTGAGGAAAATAATTCTTACAATAAAGCCAACCACTGAACATTTGTGTGATCCATTGATTCTGTTTTTTAGTACCATAATAACCATCCTTGTATGTGGCAGGGCAGGATAACAGCTTCCCTAACTGAAATGTACTCACACCAAGTACAGTTGAGGCCCTGGTGTCTTTCAGTGATGCAGATGCCTTCCTTGTGATAAGCCCTCAGCCACAGGGGTAATGTCCAGATTTAAAAATAGCAACAGTTACCAAGAAACAAAAGAAAAAGGGTATGCAAACCACTTAATTACGCCATGTTAAGTATTCCTGGGGCAGTGGACCTCATCTGTCTAATACTGCTAGAATTCCAACAGGAGCTTTGTTAAGATATTCAGTAAAAAGTATAAAGCACCTTTACAAATTCTTAAATCATGAGATAAAAGAGAACTGGATGACTGAAGATAAAAATGTAAACCAAACAGCTAATGTGACATTATAATTTCTGCAAAACTTCTAGAAAAATATAGCACAATTGGGGGAAAAAAACCTCAGAGCAGTGTGCAGTTAGGTCTTGGCATATAGTCATGGATATTTATGACAAACTGCTCCCATGGGAGGACGGAATGGATATGAGAACATGTCAAGTGACTGTCTGGATGGTAACAGTGTCTGCAGGTAGTCAGTCAAAGCCAGTAAGGAAAGGCAATTCAGTTTACAGCTATGTGTTCTTCAGGTACAAGAGACTGTTGGGTTTCAGGGAACTGAAAATTATAGTTCAAGAGAAAAGTACGAAGTATTTAAGGTATTTATTTTAACAACTACTCTAAAAGAAGCATGGAATAAGTAGTGCTATAAGATGGGGGTGGGGTCAATGTTTTCAGAATTTTTTTTCAACAACAAATTTATCTAAAATTACTTTAAACAAATAGAAATCACTCATCTTTTATATACTGCTTTTGATATTGTACATCATGGAAAGAAGCTGGCAAATGCCATTTGCTATTCATATCACCATCACCTTCATGGATACCTTTTGCTTACCTGGTGTCTGTCACTGACTGGGCCCTTAAAGAAACAGGAGGAGCTACACTCTGGCTGATGGCTGGGGACACTGAAGCAGCAGTAATAGCATTTTCCATAAGAGGAACAGGAGGTGTCTCTCTGGGTTTTCCCCCGGAGTTCTTGGAGGTCTGCTGACTGATAGCTGGAAGATCCGGAGCTCTCACTTCCTGTTGAGAGCCTATACTTGGCCCCATACATGCTGGATTAACCTTTCATGTCAAGCAAAAAAGTAAATAAATAAATAAACAAACAAAAACAAAACCAGCAAGTCCAGAATATTACTAACCAGGCTTTAGAGCTTTTCAAAGCATGGCATCTAAATCCCATTCCTTTTGAAGCAGCTCTTCCCCTCCTTTAGCTGTTTTAAAGTAAACAGTCAGCAACAAAAAAGACCAATTTACTTGATAGATTCTTTATTGTTTCTTAACCTTGGACACAACTGGCAGCTCAAACTTCTAAGCACTGGGGGATGAGGGAGAAACAGCTTCTACAGTTGTATCAGTAATTTAAGAAGCATTTTTCCTTCTTAGTTTTAGGAAGCACCAGCAAACCAGTGTTATCAAATATGCTCACAACGGTGCCTGTTCAGCTAGCTGCGGTAGCCATTTTTTCCTTAATGGATATGATAGGTGTATACACGGTGCCACAAAGGCATGGCTCACAATGGAAGGATACCAAGGCTCTTAAACTCTTTGCTTTTCTACTAACACACACATAGACCATACTTAAACACTCCAGAGTTACAAAGTTAAAAGACAGAAGGGTCAATTCCTTATTCTATAAAAGTATTCTTAGACATTGTTAAAACACACACCCCCCAAACATTTAGGTTAAGAGTGTTATTTCTCAGATAATTAGACAAAATATAAAAAGTACAGCATTTTCTCGTCTAGCAAATTAAAAAATAATCATAATACAGGTTGACTATCCCTTATCTGAAATGTTTGGGACTAGAAGTGTTTCACTGGGTTTCTTCTTGCCTCAGGCTCCCAAGTGCTGGGATTACAGACAGGCATGTACCACCACACCAGATCAAAGGCAGCAATTCTACTTGTATCTTTTCTAGAGAAACAATTTTATTATGTACAAGAATGCTCACTGCAGCATGCTTTGCAACAGCTTTAATATGACACATGCCATTCTGTGAGGTTTGACAGAAGACATGCTGCTGAAGAATTAGTTCAGGATCTTGATGCAGTAAGTGAAAGATCTACAAGATATGTTAAGTAGAAAAAGCAGAAAATAAGTCTTACTTCTGTAGAAACTTTACACACAGCAAAGGTCTAGAAAAATATAAACTATAGCAATTAGCAATGAAGGCGGGTACTCACTGATGCATATGCATGCATTTGCATAAATACATAAATGTTCTTACTAATACACACACATAAATTTTTATTCAGTTTTAAAAAAATCATCATATAATCATATTTTAAAGTAATTTTTTAAATACATATTTAAGTAAGTTGTGTCTTCATGGTATCCTATATCATAGACACACAATATGAACAGTTAAGTAAACATTATATAGCTTAAATTAATCTATTCCCAATCTCTCTACTCATTGGTAATGTTAAGAAAATATGTGATTCTAACATTTATTTCCTCTCTCCCTTCCAACATGAAACAATGGCAAACAAATATATCTAGATGACAAATTAATCGGAAGTACTATTTTCAAACTCTCATTACATGTAGCCATTGTACAAAAGCCAGAAAAGGGACTATATAAATTAATATGTGAACATAAAAATATTTATGCACACTACCCATTGTGTTCTCTAAATTTCTTTGTTCATTCTACATTTTGAATATCTTTCTGTATCAAATTATTTAAAAATTTTGACAAGCTAAATTAGAATCAACTCTAAAACCACCATTCTGAGTTCAGGATGAACTCAGCAAAGAACATGGATCTACCTGAGACCAGTTCTGAGAAGTGGGCAGGTCCTGATGGGACAGCTCTACTACTTGATGCAGTCTCTTGTGAAGTTCATCCATTCTCTGTTTTAACAGTTGTTCTTCAAAAGCATTTGCTTCTTTACTTTTCATATAATGTTTATCTTCATTTACTTTAGGAAAGATAAAAAAATGGTTTGTCTACAAAGCTTAAATTCAGGTCATCAGAGGAATATATGTGAACTGAATAAAAGGGCCCATTTTAGAATGGCATTTAAAAAATTAGTCTTTTCCATGTTTATTAAGTTTAAGAACTGAAACTTGTATTTACTTCTTAATTATAATCTTTACCTGTCTTCACCATAGTTACTATTAAAATCAAGGCATATAACTTATAAAAATTTACACTGGTGATCAATCATGTAAACATAGTGATATTTGGTAATAGCACACTAAAATACCACAACATGCTTCTTCTAAAACAATCATGACTGTGCAAACCATTCGAACATGGTTCTTCATTTCAGTTTTTAAAAGTTAAAGCTTTTTAAGTAAAAGTGAAGTGCACTAAAGGGTCAGGGCGTCAAGCAAGCTGTGGTCAGTCCTACTCAGTAACTGGCTTACCTGGCCACACCACAGAAAAATCAGAGCCTGCGTGGACCATTTAGGTCATGGTATGTGAAAGAAAAAACTATCCATATATACTTCAAAAATGGGTCTTTCATGAAGTGTTAACTGACTACTCTCTCTGTTGCTAACAAAATAAGTGAAAAAGAAAATCTCAGAGGATGGATCTAATCCAAACAACCTAGATGGCATAAAAGTCCTGAGTGGAGCAAAGGTTCATTTTCCTCTTCCATAGTCCATGTCGTTACAGTAAATAAAAGTTGATTGCAAATGCTGATATTAAGGTATACACTTTTCACTGTGAGGAACAAAACTCAGCCTACTCTGAGGACTCCTTCAGCATGATTTATCTGAAGCAGGAGAACTTGTAATCTTTTGAACTTCTGTTCCCAACCTAATCACTCTACAGTACAAATAAATTATTAACAATAGATCATTATATATACAAGTTCAAATTCACACAGATAATATTGAGAAACATTTTAAAAATGTTTCACTGAGAGAGGGCTGTTTCAGCCCTGAGCTCTGCTGTCAAGCCGGGATTGAGTCCTTGGAAAAGCCTGGCTGCATGCTAATGGTCAGTAAAGATTTCTAGGGTTCTGATGGAATGAGCCGGAGACATTTTCTGCAGAGTCTTTTAGCATCATCAATTATTTGATCAAAAATATAATTACTCGTTATTTTAAGTGACATAAAAATAACTCAAAATATAAGATAGCAAGTACCCCATTGTTCATGCTTCCTCCGTTGATTGTATTTTTGGGCTCTCAGTTCCTCAAAGGAAAATTCTGATTCTCCACGAATAAGCTTTTCCTTGCAGTACATAACAACCTGCTGAACATTAGCACTGGCTGCTAAAGATGAGTGGGCAGAGCATTCTGATTTAGAAATGACAAGCACTCTTTGTTCCCTACAAGAAAAAAAAGACATCATTAACAATAGGGTAGTGAAATAATTCTGAAAGGAAACTAAGTAACGAGCAATGTGTTGACTTATACTTGCATATTTGACTCTTTATCACAAACAGAAGGTATCACTCCAGAAAGTTCTGAACCCTAAGGGACAGAAACAAACATGACCATTCACTTACTGAAAAGAAATCTTCGCACAAATTATTCCACAAATCAACATGAAAATGCCTGAGTACAAGGGGCCTCTTAATCTCAAGTAGATTTATATATGTCTTATACATTATGGCTAATAGCTAATGCTTTAGTACGTATCATTACCATTATGACCTTTTCTAACCAAAAAGCCTAGTAAAAAAGTGACTTTAAAAAAACAAAAGGAAAGAAACAGTAAAATTTTCTTCTGGTATTACATCATCCTTAGGAGTTCTCAATGCATTCATTCACTAAACAAAGTTTTACTGAACATTTTGTACACATCGTACAATGAGTTATGTCCAAGGAACTCCTAAGGGTAACGTAATGCCAGAAGAAAATTTTACTTTTCTTCTTTTTTTTTTGTTTTTAGTAATTTTTTACTAGGCTTTTTGTTTGGAAAAGGTGCCATAATGGTAAATAAGATCCATTTCTTCTAAACAAGACCTATCCATTCTGTCTAAAAACAGCCAGGGCAGTAGAAAGTAAGGAGACTGGTAAGTATGTGTAAGATGAAAACTGGGACAGTTTGCACTATGTATCTAAGTGAGAAATGCTATTTTATCTCTAGTAATGCATTAGTAAGCCAGAAGAGCCAGGAGCCTCTCACTGGATTAAGCTCCAAGGAGGTCCTTGGTGAGCTCTGAAAGAGCAACTGCACTATGGAAGAGAAAGATGCTGGAAAACAGGAGGTTGAGGGAGGAGAGAGTTGAGCTTTTAACATGGTGATAAGTAGTCAGGGTGGAATGATAGATGTTTCTCTATGGAGATGAAAAACAGGCACCTATTCCCACTGGAATGGCAGGGAGAGATACAGTTACACTTATTGGTTGGTAGCAGAAAATTAAAAGGTGTCATCTGAAGACTTCTGCGAGGTTGCAGAAATAGCTTACAAGAGTGAGGTTAGAAGTAGACAGGTCCCAAGTTCGAGGAGAGTGAAAACAAGTTTAAAATCACTATAATTTGGCATTACAGAGTGTCTGAGAAACATTAATTAAGGGCTGCATGTAACACAGTGAGCTGGGACATGGGAAGGAGTTGCCTGGTTGAGTTAGGGACCTGATGGAGGTTATAGGCACCAACACTGAGGCTCTGGGTGTTTTTAAAGCACGGCTCAGTAACCTCCAGGTAGGTGTGATCCAAACAAATGCCACTGTTACCTGATTCTTAGAAAGATGGGCTGAGTTTTTTCCTGGACTTGATTTTGATGTTATTGCTTGGTTTAAAATCTGAGCATTATGTAGAGGTTCTGAGATTCTAGCTATAAGGAAAAGGGGATGAAATAAGGAGAAATAAGGGTAATTTTAAATAAAATTATCACATAATACATTTCCCTGATCTTTTAGTAAGCAGCATAAGAAATAAATCAACTTATGCACACTGTCAGAAAATAGAATTAAAACATTTTTTAGGTAAGTATTATAGAAACAATTTTCTTATCAATTCAAAATGTCCAAGGAAGTACCTGAAAGAAATATAAAACCTAATAGCTATTTTAAATAGGACAGGAGAGTCAATTGCTGAAATGTGATCTTTATTTCTACAGGAAAAAAAAAAGGGCCACATTTCCTAAAATTTTCAGTAAACACATTTGATTCAATTCAGAACAGATGGAGTCCAGAGTTTCCTCTATTTTGGGCAATCTTGATTTTTTTTGTTCACTTGTTGCTTGGTTCTTGGAGACAGGAAATCACTGTGCAGCCCAGGCTTGCCTTGAACTTTAGCCTCCTGCTTTGGCCTTAAGTGCTAAGAGCACAGGGCTTTGCCACCATGTCTGACACTTTTTTTTTTTTTAATCCCCTAAACAGAGTGAAATCATCAAACTTTGCTTTCAAAAGTTTGCTCTATTAAAGTGAAAAGACAGAGGCCCCACTCTCCAGGGTTATTTTATGGGCATTCTTATACCAGAGTGTTGTCCCCATTACACAAGATAGTATAGTTTGGTTTTCATTGAATATTAGATGTATTTGTTTTTCAAGGGGGAAAAAAAAATCAGTGAAAAGTAGGGACTAAATTATCAACCATCTAGATGAATTAGAAAGAATTATTTTACCTTGAGCTGGCAAATGGTTTTCAGTGAGGCGTGTCTGAAATAACCTAAATGATAGTAGAAAAGGCATCAATGTAGATTATAAAGTCATAGTTTAATACGTACCTGAGTTAAAGTAGAAACTAAATGCAATAGATGGCTTATTATAAGCCAGTAAAGACTGAGATTGAGAAAGAATGTAAGTTGCATTTCAGAGTTGCTTCAAAATTACGAAATAAAATTCTGGCAGTATCTTCATATTCAATGTCTTTGGATTAGAGAAAGCCTTCCTTTTGCCAGTTTATATCAGTATTCCTCAAATTCATGTAACACATGGGCCTTCTTTCCCCCTTATAAAGTCTGTAAATGTTATAACCCAGGGTGCTTGAGCTCTTACTTTAGGTATTTTATACATTTGGAATAAAAGGAATATGTTTGGAAGAAAGAAGTGAAAGTATAAAACTTAGACTACTGCTTCAAAAGGCAGATAGATTATTATTGCTCATGCCCTGTGAGAACATCTCAAATATGTCATTTCATAGCACTTTTACATAACAACTCTACCTGTACAGAGAAAAAAAGTTTAATTCTCAAGCCTGACATTTTTGGGTATTGTGAGCAAGATTGTATATTATAAAGAAAAGAGAGAGAACCAAATGCTAAACCTCATTTGGCATTTAATTCAAACAAACCAATGGTAACAAAATCATTTTACATGATGGGGAAAGAGAAATTATTGTTAATTTTTTAGGTGATTATGGAATAAGATTCTATAAGAAATAACCTTTTGGTATATTTATAGTAGTGTTTGTGGTAAAGTATTTTGCTGTCTTGGACCTGCTTTAAAACAATAGTACAGAGAAAAACATGACAGAATGCTAACAATTATTAAAAGTAGGTGATACATAAATGGAGGTTTATTATATTAATTTTTAATTAATATATGTTTGAAAAATCTCATAATAAAGTTTTAAAAAGTGAGGCACTGCAGCAAAGTTGAAAAGTGAGCGTGTACATTAAATGCTGGCAAGGGGTGTGGTGGACAGCAGCTCCATTTCTGCTAGTGAAAGCTCAGTAAAGAACCCCAGCAGCCTTTGAACAGAGGTTGGTGACATGTGCCACAAGCCTTAAAACTCTTTATATACCCTTTGGCTCAACAGTTTTCAATTCTAGACTTTTTCATAAGGAACTGGGTAAAAATAGGAAATATATTTAAAAAGATCTTAACACAACACCAAAGCTACATATGTAGCATGACATAAAGCTTGCTTTGGCCTTATAACAAGCAGAGGGAAAAGAAAAAACTAAAGCAAATGCAAAAAGGTTTCTTTTGCATCTTTAGTTTTCTATGTTTTCAAATTTTCCTAAATCATAGAAAAAGTAAAAAATTGTGGGAAAAGGGTATTCATCACTTGCTATGGTTTGATTGTCCATCAAAACTAATGTTGAAATTTAATCCCAGTTTTGAGGTACTAAGAAGTGGAATCTTTAAGAGGTGACTAGTTCATGAGGGCTCTGTCTTCACAAATGGACTTATCTATTCATGGATTAATGCGTAATCTTGAGCAGTTATAAATCAGTTATAAAAGCCAGTCTGGCTCTCTCTTTTAGGTGCTCCTCTTGCCATGTGATACCCTATACTGCCTCACAACTCTACAGTCCCCACTAAGGCGGCTCCCCCCAGAGGGGGTGACCCCTTGATCTGGGACCTCTCAGTCTTCAGAACAGAGCTGAATAAGCCTTGATTCTTTATAAATTATTCAGTCTATGGTATTGAATTAGAGCAACAGAAAACAGATTAAGAGTGTTGCTCATTATAAAAACCAAAGTGTTGTTAACAACTTAAATGTCCAATTGGAGAATGGCTAAATTATGACAAAACTCTGTGACAGATTTTGTAAGCACTTTAGAAGTAGCTTAAAAGTTCATAATTTCTTAAGAGCACTAGAAAGATAAAACATAGACACAGGCAAAGGAAATACTAACAATAAGATTTCTAGGCAGTTTCTTTTTTTTACACTACTCTGTATCAACTACATTTTCCCTATAAAAACAATTTTTAACAATGCAAATTTCAAGAGCAAACATTTCATTTCAAAGTAGGAGCTTTGTTCCGAAACTACCTGTACTGTTGCTGTAGTAGTTCTCTAGGTTCAGCCTGGTTTTGAATTCCTCTCCGAAAAACAGCACTGGCATGCTGCAGCTCTCCTTGGGCTTCCAGATGCCCCGCCCAGGATATGTATAGAGGAGATGACTGGGTCCCAATCCCCTGGTTGTACAGAAACTCAAAAAACTGATGAAGGTCACTGTTGTACTCGGCCTATACAAACACAGAGCAGAAACAAGAACAGTGAGATGGTAACCATCTTCCCAAAAGATTCATGGACACTTGGATAGGAGGAATAATTTTTAATATTCTATGGCACAATTTTGTATTTTAAAACTTAAATATAGTTATTTAATTTTATATTTTAAAATAGGTAGTACAGAGGATTTTATATGTTCCCAACACAAAGTAATGATGAATGTCTGAAGTGATATGCCAATTACCCTAATCAGATCATTAAACACAACATACATGTATTGAAATACCACACTGTACTCCATAAATATATACAATTATTATGTTTTAAACAAAAGCAAATAAATAAAATAAAGATACTAAGAAAAATAAATCAAAAAAGAAAAAGATATAAAAACGGTGGAACTACTAGTCTAGGTCTAGCCCAGACTGTGGTTCAGTCTTTGTGGAAGCCTGAGGTGAAGGTATGTGGGGTTCTTTAATGATAAACCCAAAAGGTTAGCTTTATTCCTTTCCTTGATAGTCAATATTCCCAAAATTACCCATACTATTTCCCAAGTTCGTGGAGTCTATAATGATCCATTACATGAAGTATTTTGTCTTAATCTGAGCTTGTTCAAGTTCCACAGTGACCAAGTTCATGTTTACACTTATCCACTCCATACATGATTTTATTGCTAGAGTTCATGCCCCAAGCATTTATTGATTGAAGAGTCCCAACTCCCTAGAGCCAGCTACTGCCTTCTCCTTTTAGTACCGAGTTTATTCTTCGAGAGTTAGAATTTTTATTACTGTACTCACAATGAATTTAATCTACTTCCAGAAGCTTCTTAGCACCTGAGGGGTCCTTATCCTCCCTCCTCCAAACATGCTTCCTTCTAAGAAACCTTTTAGCTTTTGGTTTCAGTCTCATGTTGGAACCCTGACAGATTTGAAATGAAAAGGAGGTTTCTAAAAGGAAATCATTGACTTCACAGCATAGAAGCCAGGTTTCCAAAATGCACATCTCTGGCCATACAACTCTTAAAAAATTATGGCTGGAAACAGGAATGTAAATAAAAGGCAGTTTAAAAAATTTTAAAATCTAAGGAAAAAAAGAGTACATGATTATAGATTTGATTATACATCTGAAAATATACTCACAAATTTTAAACAATAATTGATGAATCTTGGGTCATTGTGGTATTTCTTCTTATCTAAAAATTCCTTCATTAAATGTTCTAACAATGTTATCAAGTATTCTTTATTATCAGGAAAATTCTCTTCCACCCACTGCAGGTAGCTAGAAAGATACAGATACTGTTAATTTTCCACAGGGTAGCATATAGTTGGTTTAAAGGAAAAAAAAAAATGCTAACCTCTCCCATTCTCCAAGTGGATCACTGCCCTTGTAGCTCTGCATATGGGCTTCAAACATTCTAGAACAGGGAAAAGTACATACATCAGATATTAGGGATAATTTTTGAGAGCAAAAAAACCACCTGATTTTATTTGTAGACCTACATCTCATTTACACACCTGAAAGTGAAAATCTTAAGTATCACTCTAAATGCTATATAAAATATAAAACACTCAGAAATGGTCAGAAAAATCAGAAGTAGTGTTTCTTCTGAAGAAAGTTCATTCCCAGCTTTATCTCTCTGGTCCCCAATGTCACTGCCTCTCTAAGGGATGGTGTCTGGATGCTCCCTGCCCTCCTCCTAGGATCAAGGTGTGGCCCCGTTCAGACTCCTCCCTTGCTTCCCAGAAGCCTGAGTGAGACAAATCCAGAGGATTTATCACACTTGGGTGTGACAGCCTGGGTACCTCAACTTGAAGTTTCCAGATACAGTTTGCTTCCTAGTCCCCAATGTAACACATTGTCCCTGAATAAGAACACATGAGAGTAGCACCCACTAATTGGTCACTACATTTCCTACAGACTCTGCTTCTTTTATTTTCACATACTCAACCATTACTTCAAAAAGTCAACTGAGCAAAACAAAACCCTGTGTGAGCTCAGGGGCTAGAGAGGTAAACAAACAAAAAGAAAAATGTAGAATAGAGACAAGTTACAGAAAGTACTAAGAAAAAAATAAGCAAAACAGGAGAAGGGGTAAGAGTGTGGTAAGAGCTACTATTTCTAGATAGGGTGGTCAGGAAAGGCCTCTCTGAGGGGTGACATGTGATCACTACCAGATAGCCACACAGTTATCTTGGGGGAAATGGTTAAGGCAGAGGGAACTTCAGGAACTGGCCTCTTCCATGAACAGAAAAAGAAACAGTGTGGCTTAAGTGTGAGGAACAGGGGAAAGGTGAGGTGACAAATTCTAATTTGCATTTTAATATGTCCAATGAAGGGGTAGGGGTAAAAAGAGAGGTGGGAACCAGTTGGAAGCTATTGCAGAGTGCCAGGGGCTGGTGGTGAGTTGGACCAGGACAAGAATAGTGCATGTGAGCAATCTGGTACAAGTTTCAGACAAAGAGAAGATAGGACTTAGTGATGGGACTACATTCTGGTATGAGAATCAAGTTGAGAAAGACTCCTAGGTTTTCTGAGTTGTACATTTTTTTAAAAAAGGGATTTTAAAAGCAATACTTTTGTAGGAGACCAGAATATCCACCTCAAAAAATACTTCTTTGGCATACTGAGTTGGTTATTCAGAGAAAGTGCAGACAGGATAGCTGGGGAAAGCTATCTTTTTGTAAATGAAATTTGCATCAATTCATATTAGTGGAGTCAACAGCTAACTTTCTCTGAGACCTTTTATCTGCTTTATTTCCCTTCTGTGTATCTTTTATTTTGAGGCTCCCTTGGGCCTATACATGGTTAAATTTGTATGCCTTTTCTCTTACTAATCTATATCAATTTATTGCAGAGATTCAATTAAGGAATGTCTGAGAATAGAGGGAAAATCTTAAACTACACTTTCTTATAGCTATCACCTCAGTATACAAATGAAACCAATGTTCCTTATGACTGAAAATCCAGAAGCCACAATAGAAAAAGGTAGATAAAGGCAACTATATGATAATATAAAACAAAAATTTTTTAAAATCATTAATCAGAGTGATTGACAAGTTAGGAAGACAAAAGGACTTCTAAGAATTGAGAGGAAAAAAAAGGTATAAAGTCAATCTTTTACAATGAACAAAGGTATTTAAAACAGTATTTTACAGAGAATTACAAGCTTTCAAACTTGAAAAGATTTTCAATCTCTCTTGAAAGAGAAATTTACCTCAATGAGGTACAACTTCTCATCCATCAGACTGGCAAAAAAAAAAAAATGACAAGAGCGTAGGCAACTAAATAGAAGCAGGTGTTCTCACATCTTTCTTATAGGTAAGAGTGTACTCAATATCTGCCAAGGGAATTGGCAAAACAGTAGACCCCTTATTCAAGGTCTCTACAGGATGCCTGAAATTGTGGATAGTACAGAACACTATGCTTTATCCTATACATGCATACCTATAATAATTTAATTTATAAATTAAGCACAGTAAGAGGTTAAAACCAATAACTAATAATAAAAATAGAACAATCAAAGGCTCTCTGGGCAGTACCCTCTCTCTTTAATCAATTTCTTCAACTTTGCTGGAAATATTGCAGCAGCTTGTGCATCAGCCGACACAGCCTTTCCAGTATTTTTACACTTTCAGTCCAAAGCTATTCCTGGATCTCTGTAACCATCCCTTACTTGCAGCAAATTCCTTGGTATCACTCATTTCAGGGGACCCCTTGTTGAAGTTTTCTTATAGGGTCATTGCTTCCTGATGCAATTTATTGCTGTTGGTTGGAAGTCATTTTCTGTTCATGTGTTCCATCCCCAAATTTAGTGCTTTTTCCATCTTAAGCAAGCACTTTATAAACACTATGGCCATACTTTTGCAGTTTGAAGTATGATAGCAAAACTAGAACAACTTTCTTTTTCCTTCTTCACAATTTCATGGATAGAAGATGTGTTCTTGTGTCTGCCTAGCAAGCGTGATGCCTTGACTTCAAACCCCAGTACCATCACCAAAAAAAAAAAAAAATTAAAAAAGAAAGATGTGTACTTACATATGTCTTAGCAATTTTGGCATATGATTTTTTTTTCTTTTGTTATTGTCAAGGATTTTCACCTTTTCACTTAAAGGAAGCACATTTTGGATTCTCTTTGGCATATATGAATTGCTAGCTTCATCACCCTTGTGCTTTGGAGCCATTATTTAGTAAAATAAAGCTTACTTTAATACTAGTACTACAAGATAAATAACAGACAGTAGACATGACTGTGGGATGGGCAGCTTATACAGGTTCAATATGCTGGAGGAAGGGTAGTCATTTCCCAAACTGGATGGACCAGTAAGGTGCAAGATTTCATCAGGCTAACTCAGAATGGCACACAAGTTTTTAAAGTTATGAATTGTTTATTTCTGGAATTTTTTATTTAAAGTATTCAGACCTCAGTTGACTATAAGTAACTGAAACATTGGAAAGTGAAATTGCAGATAAGAGTGGCCCATTGTATTTACTGAAATCACAAATAGATTTGCTCTTAACCCAGCAAATCCTCTTTGGGGAATCTAGAATTCAGATTCATCTGTGTACATGCAAAATGCCATATGTACAATATTTTAACTGCAACATTATTTGTAATAGCAAAGGATTGACAACAGTCCAAGTGTTTATTAACGGAGGACTTTTTAGATCAATTGTGGTATATGAAATACTATGTCGTTAGGCAGGAAATATACACACACATAGGCACACATAGTATAGATATACTATAACAATGTAAGTATATTTCTAAAAAGAAACACTTGAAAAACTAGAAAAATGGTCACATATGATAGGGTGAAAGTAGGCAGATTGAAGAGTTCTCAGTGAATACTTTTCTAAATCTTTCAAAAACCATACAAATATATTAGTTATTTTGAAAACTTAGAGAGTAGTTACTTCTACATTTGAATTTCTCTCATGCCTTATAACAGCAGGATAAATCCCTGTCAGAACCTTTCTCCCAAAATATGTGTAAATGCAGGTATCATGTTTGTTGAAGGTAACCATTTCATGTTCTCAAATAAGCCACATTAACTAGGAAAATGGCTAAAAGACCCTGTCAGCTAATACTAAAACACCCAGTTCATTAGAGCAAATTAGTCTTCAGAAAGTCAAAATAAGGCCAGAAATATCTGATTTCCCTTTAAAAATAGAGGACATCCAAAAGAGAATACTTTGTTGATGGGACTGAAGGCTAAATAAAGTCATAAAGCAAACAGATTTTTGTTTTGATTATATTAACAATCTTGGTCTTCTCATCTCAAAAGAGCTGATAAAAACCAACCTGTTTTACTTCCTGCTACACATGATTTAACCATTTTAAATGTTTTTAAATCATAGTCTGAGTACATCACCTACGCCATAAAACCAACTAGTAAGAACTCAAAAACCGTTAGCAAGATGGCATAAATGACAATAAGCAAACCACTCTTTTCATAAAATGCTCAGTATCCAAAGGCTTTTTAAAAAATAACGGTAGGATTACGGGTAAGAGCAATTGTGAATTCTCTCCCTAGGGGAGTAGTTTCTAAACAAGTGACTTTGATAATTCTCGTAAAACCTAAATCACACAAGGTTTGGCATTTTTGATGGCTGGGCATTTTTGTTCCACAGTGGCAATCTGTTCAGGTAGGGTTTCTCACGGATAACGGGAGCTCTGAGGAACTCGCAAATTGCCCAAATCCCCCCAAACGGTCATGATGGCAGCAGCTGGGTAGACAAGCGCGCGGGACTCGGCAAAGATCACCTGCTACACGAGTGACTCGGGAGTGGCCCATGGCCTTATTGGGGATAAGAAGGCGTGGGGTGGGACAAACTCCAAAAGCCCAGGAAAGGTGGGGAAGGAACCGGTGGAGACCAGTAGGAAGTGGGTCGGGACAGAGGACCTGGGGGCAGCCGGGACTAAACCCTAAGTGTCCCAGCCCTTTCGGGGTCCACAGCTGGGGAATCACGCTCTCGTCTCGCCCCCACCCCACCAGAGGGACACTTACTGAAAGACATTTTCCCGGTTGTCCATGGCACAAGCAGGCCCACCCACTCCGCGAGCGAGGCAATTCGAATCTCCCGCGCAGCCGCAGACGCTGCGCCGAACGTTGGCAAGGCGCTTGGCTATTGGCCTAGGTTGCAGACGGTCCGACCAATCACCGAGACCGTTGCCTGGAGACCAAGTCCCGCCTTAGTTCTAAACGCTGGCAGCTCCTTCCACTTCTCCTAAGCCCTTAGTTGAGCTGAAAGGTGGCGCGCGGTTGAGGTGAGGCGTGGATGTCTCGGTACTGCACTACCAGGAGCTATAACCTTGGCTCCGGTGTGGGAAATTGTTTTGTTTTTTAAACTGCAGCTGATTTACATCATTACACGACTAAGACATTATCACAGGGAAGACATCGCTGGACTCGAAGGTCGCTGAGGCTAAAAAGTGCTTTGGTTCTTGAGGGGTCCTGAGAGTCGCATCTCTTAGTCCGGTTCCTTAAATATATAAAACTCTGTCGTTATGCCTGGTTCAGGGAACGAAGAAAAATAATCCTGTTTGTGGGGTCGCTGCTGTGGTGCAGGGGAAAATGCCGGCGTGTAGCTTAGGAGAAACCCCTTTAAAGGAGTTACTTTCCCTGTATCTGGCAGTTTTCTATTCTGTGTACTCCGCGGCTGCCAGTGAAGCCTTAGTTCCAGGCCCTAAAATGCTGTGGCAAAGATTGATTGATTGGTCGGCGATCCAATTAGGAAATGCTGATGGAGCAACATAGTGATTTTTTGTTGTTGTTGTTGTTGTTTTTGCGTAGTGACTACACTATGAGGCGCTTTAGGGTTGGTTACATTAAATGTACACGGAGATGGGTTGGGACCCTTAAAGACGACTGGACTTAACTGAACGCCTGTGTGTAAATAAGGGCTCAAGGTAATTAAAATAAGAGCAGAAGAGTGGGCAGATTATAGAATGCAAGAGAAAGTTTTCAGCATTTTTTGTGGGACTAGGCACTCTGGAGGCCAAATATTTAGGAATTATAAAATCCTGTAATTGAGAGTCTGGATAGCTAAGAAGTGTGTAATGTGTTTATGTGCCCTAAGTGTGAGTAGAAAAAGAATCTAGCCTTCTCTGTCCTTTGGTTTTTAATAACTTCCCACTCTCCCTCTCAAGGTTGTTTCAAGGGCCACTTGACAGTGTAAGTGAAACATAAAGAGTTATTCACGTGATTACCTTCCTGTTTGAAAGAGGTTCTGTGGCTGTTCCAGCTTCCTTAGGCCTCTTAACTTAAATTCCTAACAAATATTTAGCAGCTTCTGGAAATCCTCATGTTCTCAGAGTCCAGAATTTCTTCCAACATGTGATCACTTTAGATCTACACAAGTACCTGATTTGTGGGGTTTATTATTCAAACAGTGCTCACTCTGGGGTCTTTAGACAAGTGCTAGGTTCTACTAACCATCACAGGAACTAAGCCATTTTTGTTTCCCTCAAGTTTTCAGTTGTGTCAGGTAGTGGCTTACTCTGTAATTAATTAGGAAATGCCCACTGAGCATTTGTTGAGAGCTAGGTGCTATTGAACTTAAAACTTATGTTAACCTTATATAGAATTTGTCCATAAGAAACCAGAAAGGTTTTGTCTGGAACATGAATATCTAGACATAATTGTTTAAAAGTGGTATATATTTGTGTTTTAAGAGCCAAATGAGAGTTCAGACTATCTGCTGGTGAACTGAGAGGAGAGAGAGTTAATGGGAACTGTCAGTCAGCTAAAGCTTCATGGGGAAGGTGATGCCTGAATGGGGCTTTGAAGCAAACAAGTGTTGTGGTTTCAAGGGCCTCATGATAGTTACAGTTAAGTCTACCCTGTTTTCTGTAAGTCATGGAGATTGTCTATCCTCATTCACTTCTGCTACTGGGATTCCCCTCTCATACACTTGTTATGGGCAAGGTATTCTGGATGCTCTTCCATACTGTCCTAAAAAAAAAGGCATATTGACCTGTATTAAAGCCCTGATGCTGGTTGCTCTGGGTGATAAAAATAGAACACTAGGGTTGTCAGTGGTGAATAGAAGGCGATTTTTCTAGGCATACACTGGCTTACTAAATGACTTCCCTTTGCTCTTACCTAGGGAAGTTCCCTCTGCTATTATTCTTGATCTGAGGAGGAATTAAAATGACCCACCCCACAAAGTGTTTGTCTTAATGTCCCTATTAGGTTAATTAACCTGATAGTGCCTGGGATTTATTGGGAGCAAGGGAAAGGGATGGGCAGTATTAGGCAGAGGATAGTAATTTGCAGACTTTAAACTGGTGTTAGAGGGAATGGAAGGTAGAGGAGGGAGTCAGATTTCTTGGAGAGTTCTCAGAACACAAGGATGGCTTCAATATGTGAAGAAAAAAAAATCAAAGATCATTTTGGGACCTATGAAAATTGACAGAAATAGTCCATTATAGCTGTGGAAGGCAATACCTTTGGTTTTAGATGTATTGAGTTGGAGGGGTACTATGGTTAATCTTGGTTGCCAACCTGACTAGACTAGAGGTGGCTGGAGAACTGATAAAGCACATTTCTGGGTATGTCTGTGAGGGTGTTTCCAGAGACAGTTGGCATGTAATCAGAAAACTGAGCGGGAGGACCCACCATGAATGTGGGTGGCACTGTCCAATAGGCTGGGCTCTGGATGGAACACAAAGTGGAAGAAGTGGGGAACTTGCATATAAGAGCAAGTATATTCTTTATTTTATTTATTTATTTATTTTTTTTGCTGCTGACATTGCCCATGGACATTAGGCTTGAGATTCTTCAGCCTTTGAACTTGGACTTACAGCAGTAATTCTTCGGAGAGCTTCCAGCTTCCAGGCCTTCATCTTTGGGCTGGGGTTGCATCCTTGCAGCCTTTTGTTCTGAAACATCCAGCTTTCTTTTTTTTTGGCAGTACCTGTGTTAGAAATCAGCTAGGCAAGTGCTCTACCACTGGAGCTACCTGTCTAGCTGGACATACAGCTTCTTGAACTGAGCAACTACTGGTTTCCTCAGCTTTCCAGCTTGCACATGGCCATTGTGGGACTATCCATCTTCTGATCAACCTAACAAATCCCCTGTTATAATTATATTTACATTCTTTTTGTGGTACTGAGATTTGAACTCATGGTCTAATGCTTGCTATACAGGAACTACCACTTCAGGTACACCTCAGCCCTTGTCTGCTTTAGTTATTTTTTTGGATAGGGTCTTGCAGTTTTGCCCAGGGCTGACCTCAGACTGTGATCCTCTACTGCCTCTCAAGTCACTGGGATTACAAGAATGTGCTACCATTCCTGGTTTATAATTACATTTACATTCTATTGGTTTTGTTCCTCTGGAGAATACTGACTAATACAAGGGGTTAACAGGCACTTGTCCTTTTGCACAACAAGTCTAGTCACAGTAGAAAGAAGATAAACATAGTCATGACTCACTGCCTTCAGGAGCTTATTGAAAGACATTTCATGCACTATTTCCTAAGGCTAGAATGACTTTGAACCTAGGAGCTTTATATAATCGCTATATTCTGGGAATAAATGAAGACCCTCCCAGTAGTTTGATACTTTGATGAAGAAAATCTATAAACTCTGACATATCAGAAATTTATAGAAATCAATATAAGTAGAAGATACCAAAGGTCTGATGAACATGCTGATTTTTAAAAAAAAAACCTCACTGTTTGGGAGCTTGTGTCACTGACAGCACTCCGAATTCCATCTATTCTAACCATTGTCTTCTTTAGTCTTCTCCCGCTGCCCTTTTTTCTCAGGCCTGGGTTGAGAGTGTAGCAATTGCCACAGAATATCTGAGTTTCTTAAGTAATAATCCTTACCTTATTTATTTTCCCTTCCCTTTATTTTTGGTACTGCTGTTGCCTTAGTGCTTCTGTTACCTTATCTTTCCCAGTCCATCCCAGAGGGTGAAGGGGAGGTTCAGTTGCTCTGTATGAGAGCAGCAAGTCAGCTATGGCTAATGCATGCCCTTCCATTTACAATTCTTCCAGTCAAACTCTGATTCACCTCATAAGTTAGTTTCAATATTAAATTTCGATCCTTCTGAAATGACTCTAATAAATTTGTCTAAATTATCGGGAAAGTCAATTAGTATTTTTATTTGTATACAAACTTTTAGTGACATCATTCCAACATCAAAATTTCCAATTATATTAGAATAAGAAAACCAGGCCACAACAAGATAATCAGTTAGAATCTTGACTTTCTCAAGCGGCAGCAAATGAGCAAATATCCTAAACTTTGGTGTGTTAGTTTTTTGATCTGTGAAATGAAGAAAGAAACCTGTCTTCTTGTCTTTATCATGTTTCTCTGATTTCACTGTCCTAAAACCTCATAGGATTTCTCACTTAATTACTGATCTGTCTTTGATTGTCAGATGATATCAGTTAGTGCTATGTTTGAAAGAGGTTTTCTCCAGGTTTGCTGATGTGAGCTAAAAAAATAATTACAGATACACCCGTACCGTCCTTTCTCTGAAATGTAGAACAATTTGTGTGGCTAGCACATTGTGCCTGTTGTATAGTAGAAAACTGAAGACTTGTAACTAGACTATTCTAGTTATAAATTATGTTATTGTTACAGAAAGGTGAGGAGTAATTTAGGGGACTATCAACAATTAAGAATAAAGTTAATGTTGGTTTGTGACACACACACATGCCTATAGTCCCAGTACTTGGGAGGCTGAGGCATGAGGATCCCTTGAATCCAGGGGTTCAATACTAGCCTCACCAACATAGTGAGACCCTGTCTCAAAAAAAA